GGCCTCGCGCCGCGCCACGGCGTAGGGCTGGGGCAGGTGCACGTCGGGCGCCTCGGCCTCGTCCACTTGGCATTTGTAGGAAAAGAGGATCTTGGGCTCCGACCTGGGCGGGCGGGAGGGGGAGGGCGGGCGGCCCCACCGTGAACTCGGAGAATGCCCCCAAGGGAGGGAGGGCAGGAGACATGCCCCCCAATTCCCACGCCCACCCCGAGGCCCAGTCCTGGGCCTTGGACCAAATAAGCACTGCTTTGGGGGCGAGCACCGGTGGAGCACGCCTGGATCGCTAGCTTCTCAGGAGGCTGAGATCTGAGGATCTCGGTTCAACGCCAGCCCAGGCAGGAAAATCCAGGAGACTCATCTCCAATAAACTACTAAAAATGCTGGAAGTGGTGCTGTGGCTCGACTGTGGAACACGCACCTTGAGCAAGAGAACCTCAGGGACAGCGCCAGGCCCAGAGTTCAAGCCTCAGGGCCAATAAAACACCCCGAAAGCTGACAGCATGGGTCTGCAGGGCTTCTGCCTAACGAGGGGCCAGGCTGAGTGCTGACCTTCACCGAGGCCTGGCTCTGGGCGCCGCCTGGAATGGGCTTGACTACCACCACTGCCCCAGCCCTGTGCCCCTTTGGGGCCTGAGCGGGGAGCGGCCAGGGCAGCCCCTGCCTTCCCACCCCACCCTGCCAGGCCGATGCCCACACACCGCCACCCCCTGTCCCAAAGCCTCACCCCTGGGAATGTCTGCTAGTGCCCAATGCCCAGCCCCACGCCCACATCCAGACCCCAGGGGGCTCTGTGTGGTAGCACAGCAGACAGACAGACAGACACACACACACACACACACACAGTGGGCCTTAGGGGGCTCTGTGTGGTAGCACAGCAGACACAGACACACACACACAGTGGGACACACACACACACACACACACACAGTGGGCCTTAGCACCGCTGAGCCTCCAGCACCAGTGCCACCAGGTGCCTCACAGGGCCAGGGTGGGGGGGCGCAGGGGGAGGGACCCCGACTCACCCGAAGAACCCACGCAGGAAGGCCACGTAAATGAGCGGCGCGAAGAAGCTGAAGTAGAGGAAGGTGGTGGCATCCACGCAGCTGCGGCAGGGCGGGCTGTCAGCGCAGGCAGCCTTGGGGCCCTCGGGGACACTCAAACCGCTGTGCGCCCCTCCCCCTCCCTGCCTGCCCCCGCCACGTACCACAGCCCCTCAATGATGTCGGCACACAGCAGCGCACTCCCCAGACCCTGCACCAGGTTGAGCAGCGCCAGGATCCCTGCATACACGTAGAAGCTGCGCCGGGCTACAGGTGGGTGCAAGGGGTGAGCAGGGCTCTGCTTCCTCCTCCCCGCCCTCCCTCCCGGGTCCCCTGGGCACCCGGCACTCACAGGGCAGGGATACGCGCTCCCTCAGCGGGGTCTTTGGGAGGACCACCACCAGAGAGTAGACCTGCAGAGCGGGAAAGGGGTGAGGGTGGGCCAGGGCGGTCTCCTACCTCGCCCCCCCCCGCCCAGGGCCCCACACTCACCAGGAAGAAGAAGCAGGAGCTGACCAGCCAGAACTGGCGGCCCCCGTGCCCATAGATGTTGAAGTCCTCGGCCGAGAGGTGGGCGTCCGGGTACAGGATCTCCAGCGTCCCCTGTGGCAGCCAGCACAGAGCTGTCACCAGCTCCCCCCAACCTCCGACCAGGCCACCCAGGGTCTGTACCCCTCTCCCCCCTCCCCCTCCACTGCCAGGGGTCTGCTGAAACCCCGCTGCACCTTACCTGGGTGACAGAATAGGCCAGCGACAGCACAGTGGTGATGGCCAGCACTCGCTTGATGCTGGATTTGCTCTCCAGATGACCTGGGAGGGGCAGGCGTCAGCCAGGCCTGCCCCCCCCCCCCCCCCCCGGCCTCCCGCGCCCAGGGTCAGCCCCCACACAAGGCCCCAGCCCCACACACTCACCAAACGCCAGGCCCAGAATGACCACGCTCAGCTCGATGGCCAGCAGGAAGAAGCGGGTGATCTCCCAGAGGACCTGGGAGAGCAGACGGTGTCAGTCCCAGGCCAGCTCGACCCCCCCCAGCCGCCGCCGGCCTCACCTCCGCACCTTGTCAGCCACGGTGGCCGCATCAGAGGCACTGACGGTCATGGACACCACGGCCCGGGCCATGCCCACCACCGCCACCACACACACCTGGAAACAAGGACAGTGTGGAGCCGGGAAAGACCGGAAGGAGCTGCGAGGCCTCCACAGGAGGCCCCAGGACGGAGGATGGTGATGGGAGGCCTGGGAGGATGGGAGGGGGGGAAACGGGAGGACTGGGGACCAAAACAGAGGGTTTCACAACAGGGAAGGGACAAGGAAGTAGATGGACACAGGGAGGAGCCGTGGGCTCTGGCCCAGCTCACAGGCATGGAAGTCACACTTGTTGCCCCTCAGGCCCCACTGGACCTGTTTCCTGCCTAACACTGGCCTCTCCTCCCCTCCCCTCCCCAGCTTCTAGGGACTGTACCCCCCCACCCCCCATTGACTAGCTGCCAAGTGCCCTCATCTGCGCTGGCCAATGACTGACTCAGGAACACATGTGGACCAGACTTGGGCCAATCAGAGGGGACCAGGCCAGCCCTGGCCCAGCAGGAGGCGGGGCTCCCCCTCCCTGAAGGAGAAGAGGCCAGGCTTTAGCTCAAGACCACTCAGCATCCCCTCTAGGGCCAGAAGAGAGAGTAATGCAGCCGCGGTCCCCAACCCAGCCACAGCTGGCCCGCGGCCGGAGCCGCTCTCCGCCGCCGCGGGAATGTCCTTGCACGGCTCGCATCGGCGATCCCCTGGCTCCCATGCCGCTGAGCAAACTCACCAGGATGTAGAAGGTGATGAAAATGGGGCTGGAGGTGACGCGGATCTTGGCCCGAGCAAATGGAAGCTTCCAGAGCAGGAAGATGAAGAAGAGCACATTGGGGATAAGCAGCAGGAGATCCCAGAACCGGACCCTGGGGAGGGTGCAGAAGCGTGGGTCGTGGGCACACCTGGCCCACCAGAATGGGGCTCCCGTGGGGCTGTGCGTGCCCCCGCCCCCGCCCCCAGCACCAGGCCCCGCCGGAATGGGCTCTCCCAGGACGGTGGCTCACTGCCCACCCCCAGGGAGCCCAGCGCAGGCAGCCTCTCACCTGGAGGTGCCCATGTCCTGGTAGAGCAGCAGCAGGCAGCGGTGGGGCACGCTGATGTTCGGTGCGAGGGGCGGAGGTGGAGCCGTGCTCCCATTGTCCCAACTCGCCTCCTGCAGGGCATCCATCACGCCGGCCAGGGGCCCTGCGGAAGACACAGAAGCCTGTGGTCAGCAACGGGGGCGGGCAGAGGCCTGCCTGCTGTGGGTTTCCAGTTCCCCAGAGGCCACTCTGCCCCGCCTCCCCAGCCCCTCCCCTGGACACACCCACTCAGCACCCCAGTCTGAACCCGGCCAGGGCCGCGATGGAGAGGGCCGGCTCACATACTGCCTGGCCCCTTCCTGAGGCACAGAGGTGCCTCAGCACCCGGGGCGGGGTGGCAGGGAGAGCCCACACCTCCTCGGCAGCATGGCCCTCGCCACGTTCTGAAGGCCCCAAAGTGACCACGGCGCACAGCGCTAGGGCAGAGCAGACACATCTGGGGGGGCCTACGCCGCCCCGGAAACGTGAACAAACGCAGAGCCGTCACTGGAGTCCTGGGGGTCACCCTGGGTGGGACGATGGAGGGGCCGGAAGGGAGGACGCTGAGGACATCGGCAGGGCCTTCCACAGGGCAAGCTGGCCAAGGGGACTTGCAGAGACCCTGAGGGCCTAAGCGCACACAGGCAGCAGTTCACGCCACTTACCACTAGGTGGCAGTGAGGAGTGAGCCTTCCCAGCCTGAGGATGGATTGCTGCGGGGAGGGGGGCTGCCTTTGAGAGTGGTGGGGACACGATGGTCACTGTGGGGTGGGGGGGGCACTCAGCTGGCTTGCACCACAGGCACACTTTCCGGGCGGCCTGCTGGGGCAGCGGGGGCGGAGCCCTCGTGCTGTCCCTGTGCAGGAGGTGGGGCACAGTCCCAGTTCTGGGCTGGGACACGTACTCAGGGCTACCTCTGGGTAAGGGACAGGAAACAAGCCAGGGGTGGCCCAAACCCTGGGCTCAGGCCTCCCATCCTTTCCTCAGGCCACTGGCTGCACCCCAGCCTGAGCCGTGGGGACTGGAGGAGAGGAATGGTGCCCCCTGGGGGAGAGGGCCAGGCAGCATCCTGCACACCCGGGTCCCGGCCCAGTGTCCTGAGGCAGGGCCCGGGGAGGAGCAAGCCAGCGGGAACCCCCGCATCTGAGAAGCAAACTCCCAGACATAACACCTGGGAGAAAAGAAGACCGAGCGGACAGAATGGTGGGAAAGAGGCAGGCCGTGGGGTCCCAACACCCACCGTTCCCCGCTGCTTCCTCACACAGGGCTCAGCCTCCTGGCTGGGATTCAAGGGTGACTGGACAAGAGTGGTTCATGTTAGGACATTTTCTTTTCTCAAACTGGACTGTGGATGTGACAGTGGGCTCAGGGGCGGCCACCCTCACCCTCGGCCGGGGTAGAGAGCACGTGCCAGGGACAACAGCGGCAGAGGAAGGGTCAGGGCCCTTCCTGCCCATCGCAGCTGCCGGCACACAGCGTGGCACAGAGCTTGTTATCTACCTTGTTATCCTGGCTTCAGCCCCCCCAACCTGAAGGGGCTGCTCTGGACAGAGGAGTCACAAGAGATGAGGTGTGAGCTGAGACCTAGGTGACAGGAGACAGCCTTGGAAAGCCCCAGAGCGCTGGAGGAAGGGCAGCGAGTGCCAAGCCCTGGCTGTGGCAGACAAGCTGAGTTCAAGAGCAAGACCAGCCGGGTGCCTGGGGGAGAGGCCCGTCAGATGGGCGGTGTGCTCACGGGCCATGTGATTCTGCTCAGGTGCCAGACCGCGGAGGTGTGCAGCATGGAGCCAGGGAGATGGTGGGGTGCAACAGCTACCAGCCAGGCAAGACAAGCCGGGAGCCGGGACTGGTGTGGGCACTGAGCCAGCCGCAGGAGGACCCGCTTTCCTGGGGTGGGCCAAGACTCCCTGCTGCCTCTGGGACTTAGGGATCATTGGCTGCAGCCCCGCACAGCACAGAAAACATGCCCATGACCTAGGCCTGGCCCAGCAGGATGCCTCCCCCACCCACAGACAAGAACCTGAGCCAGAGTGGAGGGGCTGACGGGAAAGACCCTGCTGAGCTGGGGAACTCCCTGGACTGGCCATAGCCACCCCAATCCTCCACCTTGGATGTTCCACGTACACACCTCCACCCCCCCTTCTGCCTAGGCCAGTTTTGTTCCCATTCCCACTGACACTGTCCCATGGTCCCGGCTGAGACGCCAAGCGGCCTGGGCAGCACGGCCGGCCTGATTTCGGGTGGGGGGGGCATTTCCGCCCAGGGCCCAGGGCCCAGCCCCTGCTTAAGAAGGCTGCCAGGAGGCTCAGCCAGGTGCCACACACAGGCAGGGTTGTGGGAGGGAGGCTGGGGGTCTCTCAGGCTGGAGAGCCCTTTCGAAGCCCTGCTGCTATGCAGTGCGGAAGGGACCAGGGGGAAGGCTGCCTCCTGTCCTCTCTGAGGACCAGGCCAAGCAGCCGCAGCCCAGGCCCCGCCGGCAGCGGGCAGGCACACCTTGTGCCTCAGTTTCTCCACTTGGGGATCAGGGGCCCGGCCAGGCACCAGAGCTACACATCTGCATCAGACCCCACCTCCCAGCCAGGAGGCCCCTTGACCCACCAACCAGCCACTGGAGGTGTGCAGACACCCCTAAAACACTGCCTGAAATGACAGTCCATACGCCAAGGCACAGGCTCCGAGCCAGCCTCAGCCCAAGCACTTCTGCTACCTGCCACACTGGGGGTGTTAGACGGGTCCCCTGGTTCCCGGGGCTGATGGGGACCAGCAGGGAAGGGGCCTGGCCTCCAGGCCCTGCCACAGGTGTCCTGTGGTGGGGAGGGGCCCGGCCTCCAGGCCCTGGCACAGGTGTCCTGTGGTGGGGAGGGCCCGGCCTCCAGGCCCTGCCACAGGTGTCCTGTGGGGGGGAG